GGGGCCCTCCCCTCCCCCCACATCTCCCAATTCAGAGAAGCCCGGGGTTAAGTTCTTCTGTGAAGCTGACCTCTCTAGGCCTCACCTGTGAAATGGGGTGACAGACAGGTGGTGAGTCACAGAAGCATTTTAGTCTCCTCTGCTGACTGGGAAATGAAGCGGTGAGAGTAAGAGGAACAATTAACACTCATTGAGTACCTATTGTATGCAGGGAGCATATGGCTTACATGCATTGCCCTGGTGACTATTATACAAATAATACCCCCGGGGGCATGTTTAATTGTTAGGCCCCATTTATGGAAGGAGAAATCAAGGCTTAATGCCATGTCGCACATGGAGTCCGTGATAGATTTGCAGGAAGATGGAGGAGGACTCGCGTGTTTTGAGTCTGGGTGTTTTTACATGAGAGCTTACAAGGAGAGGAAGGCGGGGCGGGGAGGAGGACTTGGGAGAGTTGCCTGATGGGGGAGTAAGAGCACTGGACCAGGACTACTGGGAGAAGATAGGGAGTGTCTTGAATGTCACGCTAGGGACCCTCTGTGTTTCCCTGGCTAGCCTCTGGTCCTGCAGTACAGTTTGCTTCCACTGTCCCCTCCCCCCAGGACACACACTTGACAAATAAACAGGAAACTGAGAGGTGAAATGACCTATTCTGCTGTCCCCAGCCCAGGGAGTGGAAGCGCCTCGCAGCAGAAGGCCTGCTCACTCCACAGCAAGGAAGGGGAAGCAACGCTTTTTATAACTGGGGATAATTAATTGGTTGTCTTTGACTCATTACGCTAATGTTGCCAATTAAGGACTTGGTAGGACAGAAGACAATTCTCAGGCCATCCCCACAGGCCCCCTGAAGGCAGCACAGTGTCAAAACCAGCTTCTCTGTAGCGAGAGGGATATAGGTCAGATGCCTGGAGGAACTTCCCAGCCTGAGACACTGAAGGAGACAGTGACAGTCAGCTCTCTCGCACTTCTGTAGTAGTTTGCCTTTTGAAGGCTGTTTTGAGCTTGTTTGACCCCCTCTGTCTTACATCTTATGGATGGGCTCCAGGAAGACTTAGTGATTTATTCAAGCTGAGGAATTGAAGGCACAGCTGCACTGCCTTTAGTTGCACCCCCAGTCCTGTACCCTCTCCCCTGTTCCATACCAGTCTTGTCTGGGATGCACTGGTTACTTATTCAATCAACAAACCTGTCCTAATATCTGTTCTGGGCCCTGGGGGGGTCGCATGTGCATCAGACCTGGTCCCCCTCCCTTGAAGAGCTTTCAGGTGGGTGGGGGAGAAGACAAGAACAGACATACCCAGACCACCCAGGTGATCACTGCCAAGGGGGAGGAGTGGGGGGTGGGGGGAACCCC